TCGACCCTCGGGAACTTCCAGTAAGTGTTTGGTGTATATATGTAGATAACAAGTCTTTTCTTAACACGCGTTATACAGACACTCGACGAGGATCACTTCCGTCTTTGTAACATTGTGTAATTGTAGTGATTTGTTACTACCGATCAAAATGTTTATTTTCTCCCGTGAGTATCCAAAACAATAACATGCTCTAAAGAGCGAATAGGGATTTTTTATGAAGTTGGAGAGAAATCACTAATGTCTAAATATATATCAGTGATGTCTTTAATCAAAGTTCAACCTTTTGTTGAAATAGTGTTGTTAGAAATTAATGTTATCAATATTGTTACTCGTTTGGATACATGTTCATATAGAAAATTTATTTCTATCCTTCTATTACTAATAAAACTTCTAATTATATAAAAACAGCATAAATACATCCAGTTGACACTTGAATAGAATATCATTTGAAATTACGACATAATTAAATTTACCAACCCACCATAAAGAGTGTTAGCTTGTTCAAGTTCATATCAGGGTGGATAGCACATTGTGTGTATAAGTGATTAAGTTCTGAAGGCAACACATTATGTCTCTAGTTATGTATTCCAGCCTGTATTTACGATATTGACTGTTGAAGATTCCTAGGTCGATGACAACTACATGACACAACCCTTATCTCAACCTTGTCAGCTTATTTATGCTACAGAACAAATCTCGTAGCTGTAGTCTTAAAAATGACTTCTGAATAATATATAGAAGCAATTATTGACTCGCGGTTATTTGGTAAATGCACGAAGAGCAAATTTCCGTTGATGTATAGGACGAGTTGACTTGTAACCGGGTGTCTCTGGGTGGGACGTGGACTGAGAGACGCTACACTGGTGAAAAGACGTGATAAATTAAGAGACTATCCCACACAGTGGTACTTGTACTATAGCAATCCTTAAGTGTTTTTAATCACGATATTGTTGGGGTAAATTAAAGTGTGATAAATTCCACGTCACTGGCCTACATGCAGACGCTGAGAATTAAATCTGGGAATACTGTTTCATTATATATGTATGTTTAAATTTCATGCACCTAGTAAACCTGTGCAAAATTGAATTTTAGAAATGTATATGGTGGCAGTTTGAACACAGCTGTCAAGTACTGAACATTGTTAGGTGTTAAATGCAAGCATAAATTTTGATTATTCAAAACTAATGTCTTTGAGCATGTTATATTTTGAAATACAGTTGCACCCCTTATGGAACATTTATCTGTAGAATGAAAAATAATTCCAGCCAAAATACAACGCATTTGATTTTTCTATTCTAAGAATTTCTCACTCTTCGGTTACAATGATACTGTTGTATTAGTATTCTCTATTGACACATAAGGCCCCTTATGTCCTTGAACCGTATACTCATTTAATGCAATATATCTGTAAATCCACATGAAAAATATTTTAACCTTCTGGAATAAAAAAAATTCAGACAGCGGTATTTCTATGAATGGTCTAAAATCTTCCATATTTCTAATATAAAGTCTGGTAAAACAATGTTTTAAATGATTGTTTGTGCAACTTTTTTTAATCAATTTAAAAACAAAATTGGTAAAATGAATAGGTAAAATAATTAAGTGCAGATGGTAATATAAACATAAACATTCGATGGTTGAAAACACAGAACAAAACTACAAATATTATTGTATAATAACTATTTTGATATTCCATGAATGCAAATGTGTTTTCAAAATATCGGGAACGTGTCCATTGCACTTTGGATAATTTGAATTCGATAATGACAGGATATGTATAATTGTGTTGTAATCAATCAAGTTACATTTGTTTTTAAAACAAAACAAAAACGTTACACCTTTCGTTATTATCACATCACACATTTTAATTTATTACATTACACTTTTCAAAAGTCCTCTTTTTCAATCCATCAGTTCAAGCAGTTGCTGCTGGTATATAAGAAAAACTTTTGCAGTTTCGTTTCACACTATGATTCTCTTAGAACAGGAAATACCATAACCTCAAGTTAATCGCGTTTAGCCTTGTGGGTGATCCTTGTGAAACGGAGTGACCGACAATAAAGTCCTCTGGTTTAATCTGGACGGGCACTTGGGTCCAAATCCTTCACTACAAGTGTTCCAAAGCTTTTGATACAAGTGCCAAATGGTGTGGGATCATCTTCAGCGCCGTGGTCAGACGGTCTCTATCAGAAGCTTCCTTGATCTCCCTGTCAAACAGACCCTAACTTTACTTGTTCGAGTTCGCCCTCCTTATCCTTCCAATGTTTGAATGTTCTTTACGAGAAAAACATTGTTCATCCCTAATAGGCCCTGAATGCCAGATAGAAAGCATCTTCCCTACACTTGTCGCGGTATGAGATGCGGATTCTGTAAACTGACTCGAGATATGACAAGGATAAACACATTCGAAGGCGCTAGGGACTGTGTCTTATACTTAAGCATACAGTTGACGTTGCAGCAGGTTCACGATAGAGGCTGCAGGCGGACCTTAAACCCTGGACGGATTTTCTAGCATTAACCAAAGCATACCAAGCAAACATCAAGTCAGATTCGGACTGTGGATCAAATTGAAATTCATGGCAATTTTTTTCCAGCAGAAGCATTTTGAATATGAAACTCACCTTTCAGCAAACTAGGAAAATCACATTCTGAAGCTAAATGATATAGGTTAAATGTCACGTGGGTGGTTTTGCCTGTGTCATAGTGGTGTACTTAGAAATTCGTATACTCACGAATCAAATTTTCAAAAAGGATATTTGAACGACTACTTGATCATCTGTACAATATATTTCAGTCAATTTTTGTATATAGCATATTATCTGTCACGTGTGAATATGCCTTAATACTATGTTGTTATTAAACTGCTTACTCAGATATGCAAATCAACAGAATACCACTTCTTTACTATTTATGCATACTTTGTTATGACAAAAATATAACCAGAAGTGATGTATAATAATTTTCAAACATAATCTCCCTTATGAATATCATGTAAACAGAATATATAGTGCATAACATAAATCAGAAACACGATCATGTTAACAGATTGGTGAAATTATTCTTTTCAGAAATATTTAATTTATTCCTTGAAATAAATAAACAATTGAAATAAGCATAAACTATACCTTTTTTATACCTGTGTGTTATCATATTGCACGATTTCAACGCTGTGATTAATTGTCCGTCGAGTTAAAAAATATGACTAAATGGCGTGAGCAAGATAGGCATAAAAACGAAATGCCCGTATCGTGTACAATATAGCAAAACAGGGTGGCTGGTAGATTACGGGATTATCCCAGCACTTGAGCTCGCTATTGATTGTTAAGTGTCACCGTGTTGCTTGGACTTACTTAATCATTTCAACATTCATCTAATCTCGTAATCAAGTCACGCGGCCTTCAGAATACACTCTCTCAATTGATTCCATTGCGAGTTAATTTCACAAGACTCCTCACACGGCGAAACTTTTAATGACACAAGTTTATTGTATGAATAAAAGTTTATAAGGCAATGCTTTGACATACCGCGTTACTTCCTTACTTCGGGGTAGCGTCACGTGTTCCTCAGATTAGCGCGGATTATCCGATAAAGGATGAGGTATTACCGAAGGATATTGCACATGCACGCGTGTGGTATTGCTAGCTATATTGCCCGATACTATCTACGTGACGACTAGTTTCATAAAACTCTGCCCAAACCTCCTCATTAAAAAGTTAATAAAATATTTTTATGGAAAGCACTATACAGCGGATATTAAATAGCATCGTTATGTATCGGGGTTACCGAGAGGTGTCAGGTGTATGTTCAGCAAATGATCCGCTGAATCATTCTTAAACTATTCATCTCAAATAAACGCGTAGTTTACACAGATATTATCAGTGTAACAAAGACTGTTCTTAAATGTTTTCGATTTTTGTATAAAGTCGCTGAATCTTTTTTAGTTTCGATAGTTTCAAATAAATGTGGGAATATGTAAAGTTTATGTTTGAGGTAACAATGATTATTTGCTATGAATTTATTTCACTGACACCCAAATTTAAACGCACTCTCTGTGTGTATATTGTAGATCACTGTATATAAGGAACAGGGTCGGAAGTGCACAATGGTCTCCGCTTCTAAGAGATATTTCACATAAATATGGAAAGGGTTTTGTCGCTTTTATTTGACATTTCATGGACCATTTTAATCAAGTACATTCGAAAAAGAAATTCATTTTTACCTGCTAAATTACAATATAAAACAATTATGTTGGAGTGAATAGGTGTTATTTCAGTTACCACAAAGCCATAATAACATTTCGCCAATATGAGATATGCCTGAACGCATTCTGATTTTGTCTCGTGCATCAGTCGATTACACGTAACAGAAGACAAAATAGCATACTTTTGAATGAACATAGTGACATGCCCCGGCCACATCTTCCTCTGTTGTAGCATCTCGACATTACTGCAACCACATTCATGTTGTTTTTTTAATGAACATCAGCTTCGGTTTTTAAATTATTGCACAGTTACAATCCGTCAATAATAATTATTTTTGCTCAATCGTCTGAAAATTGGTTCGTTTTTGAACATTTTTCGATAGATATACAGAAGCTCAAGCATTAATATATTTTTGTATTATTTCAAATCTCTACACGAAATCTCTCTCTCTGGGAGCAGATAATGATTGCCTTCTAGCGCGTTATTGTGTATGCACTGTTTATATTTGCTGTAATTTCTAAACTATGGACGGTCGCTACTCTGTTCTAATCGTTTTCACTGTACAACTTTTCACTTTCGTTTACCAATATAACAAACTGTTCAATTATCCCCATAACAAGATGACGGAGCATGCGGGGACATAATGGCTATAATATTGACATTCCTAGCTAAATGAAACGAAGTCGGAACCCGTGTTTGCTGTATTCATTTGCATGGCTAAAACTTTCATTATAATCTTCATCATACTCCCTTTATGACTAAGTCATTCTGCTTTTGCCGTGTACCGTTTTAACAAAGGGTAGAGAGATACTGTTCTGGGCAGTCTGGCTATAAATGATTCCTCTACAATAATCATTTGTGTGTTTAAGATATCAATGGACGCAGTACTATCTCATATCTGCCAATCTTCACCATTTTTTTCCCATCACGAAAGACAAGTCGGAGAGATAATTGCTACCGTTGGGTGTGAATGAGCTCGGTGTGTTTGTCTGAATATTGATTTTTAATTGGAAGCCTGTTGACTTGGATGCGACAAGTTAACATTCGAATCTGCCTGATGGTTCGCAAAGAACGGCCTTCTTTGATTTAGTTGTTTGTACATTAGCGTACCATGCGGCGAGCACAATGCTCCTTTTATTACGAATCGGATGCTCACGACTCTCCCGGCGATTGTTCTAGACAGTCAATATGCAGACACTGTTGGGAAATCAAGCTTGTTGTTTCGGAGGTATCGATTTGGAACATTCATCTGAAGCCCTACAACAAACGGTGATGAAAAGTCGGGACAAGGGAAACACATACGCATACCTGTGTTGTCAGATGGGAGGACGACTTCTATCTGATCATTTGTCAACACCTGTAGGGCTCCCGAAATCCTCTTAAGAGTCTCGCTTCTACAGTCCTCATTGCACAGCGGTATATCTGGTTCTCGTATCATTTCGACATAATTGGGAAAATCTGGTGGTTATTAGATAACTGGTCATTACGCAGCGGTCATTATCTAACCACGAGGCTGGGGTAGCAGTGGACACCTCATACTGACCAGCTATTGTCTGGCCACAACGCTGACTGTTTAGGGTTGAAATGCGACCACGAGAAGGTAACGCTCCCTTTCACGCTTTGGTAAACACCTTACGCTTTTCTTGCTTGTCAACATAAGTGAGAGCTTCATTACTCTGTTATGTGACGCCATGCCTTCTATGGGAGATACGTGGTTTCGTAATCTTCACTTCACTTTCACTCAACTGTTTCAAATTGCTGGTCGCTTTTTGTCCCTGGTATTGAGTCGACAGTGGGAAAACCCGCCTCTTCCCCGCTGACCGTGGGGAGACAGACAGTACATCTCACCCGGGGGCACTAATCATGGAACGCTACTCTCACACCTGTAATTACATATATGCTACCTGTAGAGACTTACATGTGCCGTTATTGGAAACCAACAGGCTGTAAAAACAGCTACCTTTCCAATCCTTTCCCAGATTCTAAGTATATCTTACACCCAATTATATTCATGCAGAACTTGACAACTGCTTAGCTTAAACTAGACCTAACATAAAATACATGACACTGGTGTATCATAACACAGTGGTCCTACTTATACTGGCGACATCATATGAACATATTTTATGAGGTATTTTTATGGATTTGAAAATGAGGATGACATGGTGTTTTTTGTTTTACTTTAGGTCGTATTCTGGTGGACATACCTTGTAAGGTCTGTCAAGATCACTCGTCAGGAAAACACTACGGAATCTATGCTTGTGATGGGTAAGGATGCAATACTATCTTATTTTTTTGTTAAAAAGTTCTTGAATGGATACCTGTTTTTGTATTATTAAACAAGATTTTTATTTATTTATTTATTTATTTATTTATTTATTTATTTATTTATCTTTACTTGTTTATTTTTATTTGTGTGTTTATTTATTTTTCACTTATATATTAATAATATGTACTTTATATCCCACTAATGACAAAATTATTTGATTGCAATACAGATAGTACAGGGTTTGATCATCAAATGATTCCTCTATCAAAACACCTATCAGTGGATGGGTATATTTCGTGTCATCAAACAACTGGTCACAATATAGGATACTCTGTTAATCCAATACACTGTCCGCCCAATAACCCTTCATTGCAGCAGTAGTAATGACGCTGTATATCTACCTAACGGTTCCATATGTTGTACTCAGTTTCATTATTTGTACAAACTGCAATATTGGCTATATTGGCTGGCTTCCACGTAAACTACCATTGCAGTCATGCCTTGTACCAGCTTGCATAGGTCTCAGTGTTTAGCTGTATTGTATTGGCACAGTCTGGTTAATATACCTGTACAGGTCTTCGATATTGTTCGCGAGCTGACATTGTCTGTTGATCTCCGCTCTTAATTATTGCTCTATCAGAGGGATGACTACAGGATTCGATTAAGTTTCAAATACCAGGATAAATCATAGCTGTCTGAGTTTATTTTCACCCATTTGTTTCATTTGAAACGGAATACAGAGCACATATTTAAAATCATTTTCAAATTTTGATTTATGGAAAATAATTTTGTTCTCATTAACAAATCGGCTTTGTTGATATTGAAATTCTATCCCTTTCCTCACTTGTGATTATCTTTCAACGTATTTACTTTGGACCGACATTGACATAAATCATGACCTTGTTGTTTGTGTTAATGGTATTATCTTTCAAGTTTAATCATTGGTACAATTTACAATTGAAAACTAGACGATCTACAGATCATAATGAAATATCACAACAACGTCTCCTGTCAAAATGAAGGTTATGAACAGGTTCTGCACCTGACGTGCTTGACAAGCACCTGTCATGCATTATTCTATGTAACTCAATGTTTCGACAAATCATCAATCTATATGCAATCACTAGTGTAGAAGTTTGGAAATAGGTTTAAAAACAAATCGTTTTTATAGTATTAACTGAATATTTATCTGAAAAATACACTTTCCGTCATATACATGTTCTAATATATTAGCATTCTTCATTCCGCTTAGAATATATTATTTGTCATAATTAAGTTAAGATTATTATTGAAAGACAAAAATGTATGTTTACTTCGTATTACACTACCAGACACACTGATGTTAATAAATGTTCCCTAGAAACGAAACGACTGGATACATTATGCAATGATAATTCCCATATATTGCTGCTCAACTATTTCTTTCCACTTAAACGTTTTGACGGTTAATTACCACTGAGCATCGTCATCTGTTCGACGATTTCATTTATTATTATTATTATTATTATTATTATTATTATTATTATTATTATTAACACAACAGCCCTATCATCAACTTTTGATAAAGGCCCCAGTTTCCAGGCATCACTTAACAAAGTTTCTAAATATACCATATTTTATCATGTCCTTTACAGGCAAACCTCACTAATGTTTTTATAATCTTCCTTTCCAGCTGTGCCGGGTTCTTTAAGGTGAGTTTTAAATGTCTTAGTTACTTAGTCCGCCCTTTTAACATACATACTTGTCCGCCTTTGAATCAAAGTTAAAAGAGACGCAACTTTTCTCCAGGTAAAGTAACGCGTACTGTTTCCGCCTGCATCCCGCAAAGACAATCAATTCCCATCTTCCGCCCCTCCCCCATTCGTCACCCCCATTCCGCCACCCCAACCATGATGACAGTCATATGAGGGGGGTATTTGTTGAGGGGCACATCGCACGGTCCGCAAGCTGAAGTCGTCCCCTAGTGCAGTGTGTCCTTTGACTTCAGCTTCAGTGTTGGCAACCTGTCTATCCGGATCAAGTATTAACCCCCGTGTTTACTAGAACAAAAGTCTTCCGATTAGAAAGTTTAACATTTTCTTACCCAAACCCACCCGTAGCGGCTCGGCACGCTGACATCAAAGGACCAGGTTTACGTCCTCGTAGCTACCGATGTTTCGAACAATATTTAGTTTATACGACAGTCCCCTATAGGGCTGGCACGGGATTTCCTGATATCCCTGGCTCGCAAAATTAAACCAAAAGGTAAAAACTTAACGCAAACCTTGTAAAAATCTGTCGATAAAGCGTAGAAGTGGAGGGCTTGAATGTCAATAGCACAACTACGGTGGGGCACGTTGGATTGCGGAGGACGGGGGACACTACATAGCATGGATTGCCAATACTGAGATAAAGTGAGAGCCGCAAAAGTCAGGTTTGCTTATGGCTTTTGATTCTGTTGAAGTTACAGAAACAAACCAACGGCAAAAACTCGCAACATTTCTGAAACAGCTCTCACAGCTCTTCTCAGGAAGATTACGATGATTTGCAAACTCGAGTATTTGCCTAAAGCCCCTAAGATCAAAACTTGTCAAAGATTTGTTGATCAAAAGCTTTAGAAGTTGTGACTTTAGCGATTGCTTTGGAATGATTGATTTGACCACACGGCACGAGATCACGGCGTGACCCTGCGAGATCTCACTTCACAGAGCTGAGTTGCGTCATAGAAGGGTGGACAGACTCAAGTAAACTCAAACATTCGGGTTCTCGCGGTTCACCCCTTCCGACCTCAGTATCCAAATAAAAAATGCGTGTTCGAGTTTCGCGCGTTGTCCTTCGTCTCGTGTAGAACGTGATTTCCTACATCCGGGTGATGAAAAGGAAACGTACAATTTGCAAACCATTTTCCAACTATTTCATTCACAAATAACCACATTCCAATTTTATTAGACCGGAAATGAAACAAAACATATTACTCACTCACTCTTCAGTTATGCATCCTTAACGACGTCTATTTTCTTGACGTCAAGACAATGACACCAGTTAGTTTTACATGCATTCTTGGCTATATCAGTGTCGTTTATACCTACTTTCTGTGACGTTTCTTCTGAAATGATTAGTTTCTTAAAAGCAAGATACATTCTATGCTCAGGGAGAGAAGGGATTTAGATGGTGACGTCACTTCCGAAAGCTATCGTTGGAAATGGGTCCACGGTATGTCAGCAACCCATGCTTGTCATAGGAGACGACTAACGGGATCGGGTGGTCAGGCTCGCTGACTTGGTTGATGCATGTCATCGTATCCGAATTGCGTGGATCGATGCTCACTCTATCAATCACTGGGTTGTCTGGTCAAGACTCGATTATTTACAAACAGCCGTCATATAGCTTTGATAGTTCTGAGTGCGGCGGAAAAAAACCTTGTATCCTGTAGAGATAATATAGGAAGATATAATACCCTGGGTAGTCGATGGTGGACAAAGAAATTATCTAACAAGATGGAAGACAATCCATGAATCATTGTAAACAGTAACGATAATGACACACAGGGCCAAATTACATGTTTACTTCTATTTAATGAATGGCACCTGTGAAGATTCGGGTTAGAATAGGTCTTCAACAACCCATGCTTACCGTAAAAGGCGACTATGCTTGTCGTAAGAGGCGACTAACGGGATCGGATGGTCAGGCTCGCTGACTTGGTTGATGCATGTCATCGTATCCCAATTGCGTAGATCGATGATCATGATGTCAATCACTGGATTATCTGGTCCAGACTCGATTATTTACAGACCGCCGTCTTATGTAGCTGCGATATTGCTGATTTCGGCGTTAAACAACAAACAAACAAACAAATCAATAAATGGGCAACTACATTCTAAAATATCATGGTATTAATCTGTTAATTAGTCTTTTAAGATGAATTGACACGGTGCGATTTGTTGGTACAAGAAATTGTATACGATAAGTTGTACTGTGTGAATGCACCTTAACTCCGTTTTAGCAATATCCAAGCAATACCATGGCAGGGGACGCTCGGGGTACACATTGTACCTATGTTGTATTCCAAGCCAGACGTGGGAATTACGCTTTAAGCACCACGCTACTACTAACCTCCTTAACACTTGTAGATATCCCATGTCAGTAGGACGTTGTATGTAACCGTTTCACTGGTGTTTTATATCAAAGAGCGAGGGTTGTGTCCGGCTCACAGCGGGTGATCAATACCTTGACTGACATTATCTACCTGTTACGCCGGCGTCATAGTTTCCACTGATAACGACGTCTACAGCTCCACCTACTCAGACCAGTCAGATACATTTAGGGTACCTAAGCTGGCTTGTTAATATCACAGTCTGAACGTGGAAGTATATAATTCCACGCGTGGTGGAAGGTGAAGATATTTTATTAAAAAAGAAACTTTTCTCATTCACGAGATAAAATAAACATTGGACAACAAATACCATGAATTAACGAAGTAGTCTCTGTCATGATCATTTTGTGGAACGCAGTTGTATTGAATATTCTCTGAAATGCTTTGTCAACAAGGAAGTCGGGTTGCCGTGGAAACGTCTGTTTTGTGATGGCGTTACAGAAACTTTACTGTACATGATATCATAGATGAACTGGCCTTCAGCAACCCATGCTTTTCGCGAGAGGCGGTTAACGATATTGGGTGGTCAGGCACGCTAGCTTAGTTAATGCTTGCAATCGTATCCCAATTGCGTAGGTCGATGCTCATGAAGTCAATCATTGGATTGTCTGGTTCAGACCCGATTATTTGCAGAACGCCCTCATGCATTAGAATACATTGCATAAGAATATTGCTGAGTGCGGCTTTAAGCACCAAACGAACAAGCATATAGAACTTAACGACGACGTTCAATGACATGGTTGGCTAGCTATATTCGAAGTTCTCAGTATCAGTAAATACTGCACAACGGTACACAATAAAAACTAACACATTTATAAGGACTACCATTTGAAATTGGTTGTCAAAGCGACGCAACAACAATCGAATGGCGCATTTTTGTATATATATTCAAGTGTATTCTTCAGTTCGATTTTATCATATATGTCAAGCAAATCTCGTTTTCTAACACCATTTCAATGAGATAAAAACAATTTAGATCAGTAGTGCTGATTTCTTTGAAAAAGTTCTTGACGCATGATCGTCAAAGTGCAGCCAACTTTTAACATAACGATTCATTAATTAATATTACGTAGGGGGATTTCTAATCCCAGATGAATTGAACTTTATGTTATAACTCAGGCATATAACTTCGGATATTATAACCAATCCGAATGGCTTATTAACACACGTACTTTACGTCATATGGAATAACATGACATAGGGTGGTATGAAAGCCGATATACATGCACATGTTACCTCATTTCTATGAGGGGCGGTCGGGAAGTCTAGTGGTTAAAGCGTTCGCTCATCACGCCGAAGACCCGGGTTCGATTCCCGACATGGGTACATTTTGTGAAGCCCATTTCTGGTGTCCCCCGCCGTGATATTGCTGGAATATTGCTAAAAGCGGCGTAAAACCATACTCACTCACTCATTTCTATGTATGTACAGCTCAGCGTTGTCTCATCACGCTAAACAAAGCGGTGGCACGTCACGCCAAACACCCCGGTTCGATTCCCAGTTTGGTTTCAATGTGTGATGCTCGTTCTTACTGTCAGTCGTCGTAATGGCTGGTATAAGGTCACAGTTGGTGGAATATGTTAAACTCTTCTTTTATAAACTTCTGTATTATTAAAACATGTTGAACAATCGGTATGTTTATGAAACATGAAAAATTGTATGTTTGTCTCTTCAGCGCTCAATCCGACGCAACCGCCAATACATTTGCAAATCGAGAGGACAGGGAAATTGTCCTGTGGATAAAACTCACCGCAATCAGTGTCGGGCGTGTCGTCTTAAGAAGTGCATTGAAGCTGGTATGAACAAAGACGGTAAGTAAACTTTGTGGCATTGTCTTTTCCACAAGGCTGTCACTTAAACACGAATAATGTGTTTTATTTCTTCAGAAAACTATCATTGGTTTTTACTGAGAGCGAGCATGTTGCAGATGAGGATGATGGTGGCTGGGAAAGGAGGGGGCGTGGTTTGTTTACTTTCTCTAGTGGGGTTCCCTCCCCATAAAGACCACTGATGAATGTGCCCCTCTTTTCTTCTTGCATATGACTAGGGGCTCCTACTTTCAAATAATGATGCTTTTTGCAGCTTTACACATTCTATGACCTTTTATATGACATCAATCGTGGTTTTGTTCTGAAGTTTGTTTGATTTTCAGCTTATAATAACCCCTTTTTGCCTTTGAAAATAATTCAATAAATAGTCATTGTCTGGTTTGGACTGTGTATTTTTCGGCATTGAAGCAATCAATTTTCGTAATTGTGGTACGTTGACGCGTTCCGTCTTTTCATAACTCCCAACAGTCGTAGTTCACACAGGCAAATAGTTCAAATCGCCAGGAACAATTAAGCCAGTCGGTGACTGTTTGGTTATCTTAGTGTAGCATAAATAATATGATTGACCGAAATAATAACGTTAAACTAAATAAATTGACCCCAAATCACATTCTGTGGTAGTGTATCCCAAAGACCCATTAGTAGGCCCCTACCTTCGACCAATCCATAAAGTTATAATGTTCGGATTGACTAAGACATACAAAAACGAAACACGGTTACTAAATCAATACCTATTCATAATGGGAAATCAGTTCTTCCTGACATTGGTCACGTTTGTTGAAAATCACGAAATCAACATAATCGTCATGCTTGACACATTTTGGCTTCACCTTGTACATAACTGACAATCAAGTACAAAAGTATAAGGGCCACGCATAAAGAGATGTTTCTGTGTCAAACGTCCCTTTTCACATCATCATCTGCAACAGCTTGCAAATTCAAGGAGTCAATCTATATGACCCACAATGCATCATATCCAGTTCCGTCATTGAACAATGCAGATGCAAGCGGTGTCAGCTTAACGTGATAAACATTATTTTTCACATAAAGTCATAATTACCACACGCGGCTTTTCATTCCTTTCTCTTTGCGTTTGCTCCCGATCAGGTCTAGTAGTCCTCCGATGAACATATATTAAAAAATAATTAAATCCTTTGAAACGTCACTTGAAATGGTGGTGTTCTTCTAGGGCCTGCGACACTGTGACACGCAATAAGGGCGTCGGGTCTTTAGCACCAATTGTTGATGGAGATAGCACTTCACAATTGAAATAAAAGATGCTATCGCCATGCAACCGATCTATTTGATGGTTTACTTTAAATCTGGTCATATGACATATGATTTCTTGTTTCTGGAAATGGAGTTAATAAATCCATATAATATCGCGTCAAACCGAATAATTATCTCAGTTTATCTCTAATCAAACTCACTGTTACTTTGTTCTAAATGACAACATCAGGAAGGCCTAAATATTTGTTTATAGTGATCGCAGGAAATGTTTTAAAATAATTCATGCAAGATTCGTAAATACGTTTCGACACTACATTATGTGGGTGGACGTGTATAAATGATTGTATTTTAAATATCCATACATATGAAAATTATTTTACTTATTGTTACAACCCCTAAGATATAGTATGGTGACATTTTCTCATGGTAGAGTACAAGCTGACATGTTTGGTGGTGGTTTTTTTATTTAATTAGAGTCATCTGAAGAGCGGCATTTTTTAAAGTTAAATTATACATTACATTTGTTCACAACTCTTCATTATTGTGGGTACATATAACCACACCATAGTTTAATATTTGCAAAGTTAAAAAAATCAATCTTATGACCAATTAAAATCTTAAATCAAAGAAATATGTCAACCGATTTTTAATGAAAGGCTAATCGTTTTCAACGATTCAAACACGATTATTAAATCTAAATTAAACGCCAGTTAATATCTGCGGATTAACCATTTTGACACAAAACGAGTGATCCCCACTCGAGACCTCCACTCCTATGAGATCGTGTTTCCCAAGCGCATGGACTCTGTGGTTAGTCTAGCCGAAAAGCAGGGTGTTCCTCATAATTTAGTGATAATACGGCGATCAGCGAGTAACAACTTTTAATGAGACACTCGAATTTGATGAGTCGATCGTCAACACAGGGACGCAAGGCGAGAAAGCCCCGCAAGGAGCAGAAGCGGAGACACGCTTGTACGTGGACGAATAATTGACTCGGAAAGCACACGTACAAATAGAGTCGAGGCAACCAAACACGAAGGATAGGGCGAAACACTCCGATTGTAACCCGATGAGAAATGCGCTCAACGATTTGATTAGGCAATTACCGGAGTCATTGTATGACGCGGAACGTCTGAATAGATGGTCACGTAGCTAACCTGTCCTTGTGTAATTATACTCAGGGGGCAGGAGCTCATAATCCGGGGGGTGGGGCCCTCATGGCCAAAAATCTGTCACTTTTATGAAACATTTGTTTTGATCTTAGTAACATTTGTTACATTCAACCAGAACCGGACATTGTAGGACATTGTAAGACGTTGCATTAGCGCGTTCCAAATACCTGGAATGTCCAGTGACACTGATGACAATTCCCCCTAAGATAACACTGACTTTAACGTATGTTTAGCGCTTTGTTAATTAAGTTCGCGCACATCTCCAAAAATGTCATCGTTTACGGTGTTTGGAGGCAGAAACTGTTTCTTTTTAAAGGGACCATTTCTTAAATTCCTGAAACTGATTAAATTCCAGACATGACGCTAAGGTTGGTGGTGA